GAAATGTCACTAATACCAGGTTGAGAAACCCTGCTTTAGAGATACATGTTTCAACTAAGTTGGACTTGTCTTTATAAAATCAAAATATAGAAGGGTAAAAATTAAGTTTGATAAGAATGTTGGCATTGAAGAATACCTTAAACCTTATTTCATGTTGCTCAGACTTAAATCCAACAAAGGACTCATATATTCTTACTTCTCCATCTATCTTTGAGAATAAGGCTTTACTCAGAGATTATCTTAATTCCTATGGATGAAGTAACAAGATTTTAATTAGATCATAGATGGGGGAAAGTCTAAAGACTAGAAGAATGACTAGCACCTTCAAATACACCAATCTGGGTGAAGTAATCACCCTGGCATAAGGGACTTTGGGTTCTGTTCCTTTGCACTTGCGTGGATTCATGGTGTGCTTTTCTTCTAGGAAAAAAACGTGATTACCAGAGTCTGGGATGGCCCAGCCCAGACGAATGCCTCAAACTCCGCTGGGTAGAGCTGACTGCCATCGTGAGTACCTGGCTTGCAGTTTCTTCAAAAAACATTGAGTAAGTATGTTAAGCCTCTCCCTCCCTTATGGCATTTGAGTTTCATTGAACCCAGCTGACTTTAGGGATGCCCTCTTAGTCAGCAGCTAGTAGAAGAGTCACCGTTTCTAGAGCTGATCATTCAAAGGATGACCATGCTGACCATGGCCCCCAGGTAGGCCCAACCCATTGTAGCAAAGCAGTGAGGGTGCCCCCCTTGCCTTTACCTGCCCTTTGTAAGCTATCTAGCAGCCATGTATAACTTGTTTAGTTTGAATTGAAGACTGGATCCCTCTTTATAGAAGCACAAAACTCATGGTTTCTCATGAGTACCATGCAGTTGTAAGGGAGCCAGAGCAAATTCAGATTTGCAAACACCTACTGAGACACGGTAGGTGCCTCTGATAACTGCTTTTTCCTCACTGGACACTCACTCTCTTTTGCTGACCCTTTTCTACCCTTTAAGTATTAGAATTCCCCAGGATTTAGCACTAAGCCTTCTTATTTTGTAATCACTTCTAGTCAGACTGATGGACTCCCAAAATCCCAATCAACACTACTAACAGCTCCCAAACTTGAATCTCTAGACCAGACCTTTTTTTGCGATGCTTTCAACTCATTTGCCTGTCTCCCTGACCTGTCTGTCTAGATTGCTCTCAGGCACCCCATGCTCAGGAAAACTAAAATTTTAATTTTCTTGCCCACTCTCCATATTAAAAAATTATTGCTTTGTTTGTTTTTTCTTTTCCTATTTTTAGTAAATAGCTCCAGCAGTGCTTAAGCCAAAAACCTGGGAGTTATCGTAACTTAACAATTTTCCTTCCTTGCTCTTCAAATTCATCCTGTTACCAATTCATGTCAGTTTTACTCCTGGAGTATTTTTCAAAACCATCGACTTTTCTCCATCTCCGTTGCTGCCGCCTCAAACCAGTACCTCCTAGCCGGTCTTCTTCCTCTCTTCATTCTCTCCACGGTCCTCAGAATTCTTCAGATATAAGTCAAATCACTCTTACAGCACTCTAGGAAGTTTTTACGGCTATTTAACATGGACCATAAAGCCTTTCTAGATCTGTTCCCTGCCCATCTTTTCATCCTCTCTCTTGCCCTCTCTCCTGCCAGGGCTGTCACACGTGGTGCCTCCTTTGCCTGTGGCATTGTTCTTGCTGCAGGTTCTCAGCTGGTTAATTCATACTAATCCTTCTGGACTCAACTTAAATCTTACCGCCTTAGACTCCTTCACTAGTTACCTCCCTCCTCCACCAGTGCAGAGGCAACATGTACCATCCTGGAGTATACTGTCATTGCACCATATTTTACCTTTTATAACTTACCATGTGTAATAAATGAATCACAAGAGAATGAACACGATAACCGCAGGGACTATGTTTCACTTATTATTATAGTCCTTGTATCTGACATGTAATAGGCTCTAAATAAATAGTGAGTGAATATTTGTCTAATAATGCTTAGATTTTTAAATAGCTGGAATTAAAACATGGCAGTGCCAATTTGTCATATTGGTGCCTATGGTAGTTTATAGTATTTATCTTGTATATGGTGGGCAAATGAAAGGAAGTACTTAGTCTTATAGCTAAGTACAATGTATGGGTATGTATGTATAAAATTTACTGTCAGAGCTTTAGGTAACTTTTTCTGTGGGGAAGAGCGTGCTGCTGTGCATAAAATAAAAGATAATAACCAGTTGTGGGTATTTATCACCACTTATATCTTGGAAGAAGAAATCCTAGAAGAAAACTTACCTCGTTTAAAACCAGGGGATAGCATGTTGAAGCTATGATGAGATGATTGTTAATGCTGTCTCTGTTCTCTTCCCACCCATTCAAAAATTTCCCGTAGCTAATGTAATCTCCATTTTTCAGCATCACAGAACACATAGACTTTGCCACCCCTATACAGCAGCCTGCAATGGAGCCTCTTTGCAATGGCAATCTCCCCACCAGTATGCATACCCTGGACCACTTGCATGGGGTTTCCAACCGAGCCAGCCTGCACTACACGGGGGAGAGTCAGTTAACAGAGGTGAGTGCTTGGCTTTGTTCAGGCTGTTTTTTAGCCTCACAGTTAGGATGCACATTGATAGTGGAAAGCACAGGTGACCAGGCCTTTTGAAAAAAAAAAAAAAAAAAAACAGGGCCTTTTTTCAGTTAGGCATCATCCAGGTGGATGTGGGCCAAGTCTGATTTCTTTCAGGTCCTGGGACTGAGATTATTATTCTTTTAATTCTTTATGACTATGAAATTTTAATTCTGATTTACCCCTCAAGGGGATTAGTGCTGCCTTGCCATCAGATACAGACTCTTGAGAAAAATATTTGGGGCAGTTAATTCTCCTGTTGACATTTTTAAGAAGGAAGGGCAGACCCAATATATACCTTAGCAAAGCGTATACCTAGAAGAATTGGGAAAACAGGTCACAAGTATCCAACAATAGAGGATTGGTTAAATAAATTTTGGTATAGATGTAAGATAGTATACAGTGGAACCATTAGAAAATATACAGTAGAAATATTCTTTTTGACATGAATAAATTTTCACAATATATAATGTGAAAACATAGGTAACAGTATACAGTGTAATTCAGTATTTTGTGAAAAAATGTACATAGAAAACTATCTGAAAGATATATATAAAGATATTAAAAGTGGTTGTTATTACCTCTCTATATACATCTTTACATGTCTGGGTGACAAAATTACACATAGTTTATTTCATTTACTCTGTGTTCTAATGTTGCTATAATGAATGTGTTTTACATTCTGTAATTTTTGTTAAATGTAGGAGGGCTGAGGGGATGATAAAACAGCCTTAAATGTATCTTTCATAGATTACCTTACTAATAGGACCACAGCATGTAGCCCAGAAAAACAGTTTGCCTCTGTGGTACAGTGTCCAACTCAGCATTAGCAGTATCATCTAGATTCTGCCTCATTTTCGTTCTTCTAATCTACCATCTTCCTCCCTTCCAGGTATTGCAAAATCTTGGCAAAGACCAATATCCACAACAGTCACTTGAACAGATTGGCACCCGAATTGCCAAAGTTTTGGAAAAGGTTAGTCACCCCACAGAAAAGCTGGAAACAATTGCCCTCCTTCTAACCTCTTTTCTGGCTTATTTGCTCTTAAGTAGCTCTAACGTCTTCTGTTAGTTACTTATTAGCACTTGGTGGCTAAAAGGATAATGTGAAATAACTCCCCTCAGAATGTTTCAGTCACTTTCCCATCACTTGGGTAGTATTCTTTTCTGTCTCTTTGCCTGTGTTCTCTTCTTTACCCCAGTATGTGTGTATAGAGGTGGTAGTATTGGAAACCATGGAATCTAGGTATATGAAATAAGTCAGATATTCTGATGGTGAAGAATATTTGGTATTTTGAATGATGGATGGGAAACACACTTTGAAATATCTTTTCTCTTGAAATCATGAAACAAAATATTTACCAAGTTGCATTTTCATAGAGCCTACAGAAAATATCATTGAGAGGTTCTAAGATGCCTACCTCTGTGTGATATTTGTGTAAAGAGGAGGGGTTTTAAAATTTAATTTTATTATTTTATGGCTAAGAATCTCTCTATTACTGTGGAATATTGAGATAGTTATTTAAAGAATCAACCCAACTTCAGGTATGAATGTGACATTGTGAGATAGCAACTTCCTTCAACTTCCAGATATCACATGTGGAAAAATCATCAGCAGACTCCAGTTGTAAGGAAACTAGAGCAAACACATGATTGCCAGACTCCAAAAAAAGTAAGGATTGCCAAAAGTGGTTGTAATCCACACAAACACCATACAAGATGAATTGTAGCAGAAGTGAGGCAGGGTTAGCAATTTTAGAAAACATCAGCAAAATTCTCCTACCTGAAGGAACTTTCTACAAGTAGCCCAACCAGGAAAATCCTGAGTAATAAAAACAGAGCAGACACAGCACTGATATAAAAATAAAAGAAAACTGGCCGGGCACGGTGGCTCACGCCTGCAATCCCAGCACTTTGGGAGGTTGAGGCAGGAGAATCGGCCTGAACCCGGGAGGTGGAGGTTGCAGTGAGCCGAAGTCTTGCCACTGCACTCCGTCCTGGGTGATAGAGCAAGACTCTGTCTCAGTCAATCGATCAATAAAAGAAAACCATAGGAAAAAGCAGCAAAACTTACCAAAGACTACACAGCAGGAAAAATATTGACATGGAACACATTATAATTCAGACTAAACTTTTCTCCTTGAATTAAAATGTTAGGCCAGGCACCATAGCTCATGTCTGTAATCTCAGCACTTTGGTGGATAAGGCAGGAGGATTATTTGAGCCCAGGAGTTTGAGCCAGCCTGGGCAACATATTGACACACTATATCTACAAAGAAATAAAAAATTAGCCAGGCATGCTCACGCACACCTGTAGGCTCAGCTACTTGGGAGGTTGAAGTGGGAAGATTACTTAAGCCCAGAAAATTGAGGCTACAATGAGCCATGATCATGCCACTGCACTCCAGCCTGGGCAACAGAGTGAGCCCCTGTCTCAATTTTTTAAAAAATTATATTGAACAGTTGCCTTTATAAACAAAGATTACAAAGCAAAAATATACAAACAGGAGAAAGATTAGGAAGGGATATAAAAACGGGAGATAGAAAACTGAAACCTGTTAAACTTGAGTACTAGGCCAAAAAGGCCATAGTAGAAAAACTTTGTCACAGAAATGGTGACAAAATTGGAAGGAGCAGCAAGAGGAACATAGCACAAACACAGAAAGGGACATACAGGACAGAAGTAATGAGTGACTAAAATAAAATAGAGAGTTAAAGAAAAATTGAAGATAATAGGTTAGAGAGGAACATATTTTAAGCTCTAGATTAAAATAAATAAGATTTGAGTCTTATTCTATTTCTTTAAAATATATTTTGTTAAAAGGGTGCACTGTGTGCCATAGAAAACTGATCCAGAACAGCCAATAGCAATGTTTATTCAAGCAAAATTACTCAGTTTTTAAAAGAAAGTCTCAGAGAGTGAGACTCCATCTTGGGAAAAAAAAAAAAAATATATATATATATATATATTAACAAAGAAAAAAGATACCTTAATTATACAGAAAAGCAGTAGAAATAATGAATCCAAAAGTTGAGTTTGAGGCATATATCAATGAAATAGATACGTCATTAACTAACCTAATAAAGGAAAAGGAGATCCCCAAAATAAAATTCAAAAGGCAGGGGGACTTAAGAATTGATACTTTTCTTAACACAATAACACACACACATCACTTAGCAGAAAAGCCAGGACCTTACTAGGTGCCTTCTAGATGCTTTTCCACTCAAGTCGAGAACCAGCCAAGAATGTCCACTATATCTCCTACTACTCAACGTGAGTTTGAATGTATTAATATAGACAAAGAAAACAAAGGCATTCAGACTGCCTACTATATCTAATAAAATTGTATGTCTGGAAAACCCAAAAGAATCCATGGAAAAGCAGCTACAAAGAGTTAGAGAATGTAGCCACATAACACGAAAAGTTAACACACATGTAAAAGTAATATTCCAGTTAGGATGTAGTAGATCAAGGCAGGTCAGTGCATTACAATAACTTGAATGAACCAGATAAACTTCTATAGTCATGTTTTTAAAGCTATCACAGAACTAGGCAAGCAACAAAATGTGAAAGAACTTAAATGCTAGTGGCAGAAGAACCTTTCCAAAGTGAGCTGATGATTGCCACCTGTGTCTCCCTGCCTGCTTCATGCCCCAGCATTTGTTGATTCCAGGTACGAGCTAAGAACTGGCCTTAACCTAGGGAGGAAGCCATTACTGAGGAAAAAGCGAAATAGTAAAGCTTTTAGCAGTTGTTCAAGGTGGAATTAACAGATTAGAAATCAAACACATGACCAGTTGTTTTCCAAGGAGCATTTGAGGAGAGCTAAGACCGCACAGGAGTCTGGGAGATCAGGCTCAAAACTTCGGAAGGGTAAAGTGAAGTCTCTCCATCTCACACTGCTTAGGAAATAAGGAGAGGCTGGGTGGCAGAGCCAGACAGAAGCATACGGCTGATTTTTCCCCCCAGGACTTTTATCTTGTTGCTATCTGGATGGGAGACTGAAGTAAGCTGGAGACCTCTAACAGGAAAAAGTCTTTAGGGCTGAGGAGACAGACAACTGAGGTCATTCCTATTCCTTCGGACTGAGCTGAGTCAGATTCAATTGAGTCTTGAGTCTTGCTAAACTGCATGCCTCAACCCAACTCATTATCGGGCAGGAATGAGTTGATCAGTCCTACAACTTCTTTGCTTAATAGAATGAAGGGAAAAACTGCCCTAATGATGTATAATATCTGGAGCCCCTGTGGTTCTTTTATACACAAAGACCAGTTTTTAGACAGTTTTTAGAAAAAATACTAGATATGCAAAGAAGCAAGAATGTATGGTTGACAACAAAGCATAGTGCAGACAATAGGAGCAGATTTACAGATAATAGAGATATTATAGTTAGTAGACAAGGACTTTAAGATAATTACAATTAATGTGTTCACAAAAATAAAGGAAAAGATGAATAGATGAAAAGAAATACCTTTTCACCAGAGAACCAGAAACTATTTTAAAAATTATATCAGCATTCTAGAACTTAAAAATACAGTAATGACAACTCTTTGAATCAGGGTTTAATATCAGATTGAACAGAGCACAGTCCAGAATTGGTGAACTAGAAAAATAGGCAGACAGGACCACAGAGGAAATAAGTGAGTGTGGGGATTGATAAGAGCATAAAAAACAGGCTGGAAAAACTCCAAAGATGTAACATACATATCATTAGGGTCTTGGAGATGTAGAAGTAAGAGAATCGGGCAGAAGTGATATTTGAAGAAATAGGCTAGAATTTTCCAAAATGGATGAAAGGTAGCCTACAGATTCTAGACGCTCAGCAGATCCCCAAGCAGAATAGGTGCAATGAAAAGCCCACCTAGGAACGTTAAAAGCTTAAGAGTAGGGCCGGGCGCGGTGGCTCACGCCTGTAATCCCAGCACTTTGGGAGGCCGAGGCGGGCGGATCACGAAGTCAAGAGATCGAGACCATCCTGGTCAACACGGTGAAACCCCGTCTCTACAAAAAATACAAAAAATTAGCTGGGCATGGTGGCGCGTGCCTGTAATCCCAGCTACTCAGGAAGCTGAGGCAGGAGAATTGCCTGAACCCAGGAGGCGGAGGTTGCGGTGAGCCGAGATCGCGCCATTGCACTCCAGCCTGGGTAACAAGAGCGAAACTCCGTCTCAAAAAAAAAAAAAAAAAAAAAAAAAGCTTAAGAGTAGCCCAGAGGAAAAATATCATTTCTGTATCAGCTACCTATTGTTAAAAACAGATGGCTGTTTAGCAGCCATTTATTTATTTGCAGTCCTACCAGGCACTTCTGCTGGGCTCACATGAAGTCACTTATGTTGCTCGGGCTACTTACCCAAGATCTCTTCACTCTCATGTTTGGTGCCTCTGGGGAAGCCTGGAAGAGTGGGAGCTGTCCAGGCTCCATCTCTACGTGGTCTCTTAAGCACCGTGGGATCCTTCCAAGTCCATCTGGTCTGTCCAGCTCCACGTGGTCCCTCTGGCATAGTGATAAGCACATGATGGGTCAGGGCTTCAGAAGGGTAAAAAACAGAATCTGCCCAGCGTCTCAAAGCCTGGAAACTGATAAGCATCATTTCAACTGCGTTCTTGTGGTCAAAGCCAGTCATCACAAAGTCAGCTGAGATTCAAGGAAACGGATAGGACTTCACTTCTTGGTAAGACATGGGTGAGGAGGAGGGCAGCATAGAATTTTAGGGCATCCCTCAATACCTGAGCCTTCTTATGGGCTCAAATTGTTTAAATTCCTCCCACATGCAAAATAATACCCACCTCAAGAACCCCACAGTCCCATCCAATTGTGGCATCAGGCTCAGAGTCTACCCGTATACAGTAGTTCCCCCTCAACTGTGGTTTCCCCTTCCACGGTTTTCAGTTACCCACAGTCAGCTGAGCCTCAAAAATAGATGAGTATGGTATAAGACATTTTGAAATAGAGAAAGATACAGGCCACATCCCCATAACTTCTATTATAGTATATTTTATAATTGTTCTGTATTATTATTGTTAATCTCTTACTGTGTGTAATTTATAAATTAAACTTTATTATAGGAAAAAATAATAGTGTTCGTTTATAAAGTTCAGCACTATCTACAGTTTCAAGCATCTGCTGAGGGTCTTGGAACATATTCCCCTCAGATCAGAAAGGATTCCTGTGTTTGGAAGAGGCTCCTCAGATACAGCTTCTCTTTACCTGTAAACCCATGAATTAAAAAAAAAAAGAAGTTATTGGTCCCACCCACCCCCACATGTACAACCTATGTTGTTATGGCAAGGATACGATGTCACATCAATTGACTAAATTTACAAGAGAGGAAATTGAAGGCATGTGGCTATCCCATGGCAGTTGTGAAATCCATCTGGCTATATGTCACCAATTCCCTCAATTCCAGGGGTAGGGAACATTTGATTAGTCTATTTTGGTTCTCTGAAGTTGGCTCCCTTTTTTGTTTCTCAGTCCTTGACTTTTTCCTCAGAGCTGAGAAATGTCCTGTTTTTGTAGCTGAATAGCTTTCTCAGCCTGCTTCTAGACTCTGTCCCAGCTGGCACAGTTATCCACTCTGGCACAACTTCTTTAAAAAGCTTTGTGGACTTTTAAATTATAAACCACTCACTCCACCAGAGAGAAGCCACATCCACAGATTTCTTCAAGAAGTCCCCTATGCACTTTGAATGTGAGTCAGGGATGATACCTTTAAGAGTCTTTTATGCCTTTTGTCTAACTGAGAGCGTCTGCTAGGCAGTGGCTTAAATCTTTCTGAAGTACAGGTGGTCCTCAGCTTAGGATTTTTCAACTTAGAATTCTTTTACTTTAGGATAGTCTGAAAGCGATATGCATTCAGTAGCAACCATACTTCAAGTACTCATAGAGCCATTCTGTTTTTTACATTCAGTGCAGTATCCAGTAAATCATGAGATATTCAGCACTTCATTATAAAATAGGCTTTGTGTGAGATGATTTTGTTTAACTATGGCACAATGTAAGTGTTCTGAGCACATTTAAGCAATGACAGACCAAGCTATGATGAGGTTAGGTATACTGAATGCATTTCAACTTAATATTTTCAGCTTACAATGGGATTATCAAGATGTAACCCCATTGTAAGTCAGGGAGCATCTGTATTAGTAACAAGGTCATATTGCCATGCCCTTTATTTTATCTTGACCGTGAGATCATAGTCTTACTGCCAACACCTTGATTTTTTTTTTTTTTTTTTAACTTCAGAACCTTTTGCTGGAGAAGCTGGTACTGAGAAAGTTTTATTTTATAACCTTGCATGTCCCAGGTTGAAAGTATTTTCCCCTAAATTCTGCCTGAAAACTGTACAGTTCCTTGTTTAGTTCTTCTCTCTTTTAATACCTTATTATAGGTGTTTTTTGAAAAATTGCTTATCACTTTCAGCATTCTTCCTGGAAACCTTAGCCAGATCTATAATTTCATTAGGTCCTTTTTCTGTCTTCCAGGATACAGTTGCACTTGTTTTGTCAGTAGATTACATGGCTTCTGTCCAGCCTGAAATAGCAGTTTCCTTGGTGGCTTTCTAGCCTCCATTAGTAGTTTCATTGCTGCCCTTCCACCAAATTGTCTATAACCCAGTCCCAAAACTAGTGCTACTTGTTTTAAGCTTCTATCATGACAATGCTCTATTTTAATACCAAATACTGTTTCAGTTATCTTTTTCTCCCTAACACATTACCCCAAAATTTACTACCTTAATGAAACAAAACTATTCTTCACTTAAGAGTCTACAGTCTGAACTGGACTCAGCTGGGCATCTCTTCTGGTCTCACCTGGAGTCATTTATGCAACTGCAGACATGTGGGGACTTCATTGGGGCTTGCCACCAAAGATGGCTTTACTCAAATGTCTGGTGCCTCAACTGGGGTGGCTGCATTAGCTGGGGCACAGCTGACAATTCCCTCTCCAGCAGGGTGCTGAGCCTTTTCACGTGATGGCTGAGGGCTCCAAGAGGGTGAAAGCAGAAGCATCCGGGCCAGGCCTCTTAGAGCCTGTGCATAAAACCGAAGCAGCACTACTTCATTCGTGCTGCCTTTCAAAGCAAGTCCTGGGGCCTGCCCAAAATTACAGGCAGGGGAAATATCCTCTACCTGATGGTAGTGACAAAGAGTATGTGACCCATCTTAAATTCACCAGTTGCCTTCACAGTTGCAACAATGAGACCGTTAGCTTCTGAAGAGAAATGATAGAAACTAGAAGCCATTGTAACAACATGTTTCAAGGGCTAGAATAAGAAAACTGCAAGCTTAGAATTCTAAACCAGCAAAAATATTCTTAAAACAGAGAGGATTGCACACCAGTCGGCCTGCACTGAAAAATTAAAGGAAGTTCATCAGGAAAATCATCCCAGATAGAAATGAGGACTTGGAAGAAAGAATGAAGAACGCTGGGAAGCATATGTAAATGAATAGTAACTGTACAAAATAATAATTGTACACCCTGAGGAGTTTCAATTTTATGTACTGCATATCTAAAATTCATGGTAACAATAACGTAAATGATGAGAAGGAAGCAAATGGAGTTTAAAAGTCCTAAGGCTTAATTGGTATCAGCCAAGTAGTAAAAGTAATAATTTACATTGGCTTTAATAAGTAAAAAAGCATGTTTTAAGCTCTAGGCTAACAACTAAAAATTATTTTAAAATGTCACTTAATAGAAGGAAAATGGAATCATATAGAACATTTGATTAATCCAGAGGAAGTCAAGGCACGTAAACTTACATAAAAGTAGAACACAAATAGTAAAATGGCAAATATAGACCCAAGTACATCAGCAGTTAAATGGAGAAAGACTGTGTAATTTAAGAATTAAACATGGGCTAGATTTTTTTTTAAACCCAGCTATATAGCTACACTCTTGTCAGAGAAAGTAAACTTTAAAATAAGAAGCATTAGTTGAGTTAAAGTGGAATGTTTTATAACGATAAAGGGATCTGTGGCAGGCTGAATAGCGCCCCCCACAAAGATATCCATGTTCTAATCCCTGGAACCTGTAAAAATTATATACATACACAGTATGGAAAGAAGAGGACTTTGCAGATAAAATTGAGGATCTAGAGAGGGAGCAATTATCCTGGATTATCCAGGTGGATCCTAAAACCAATCACATGTATTCTTATAAAGAAGGAGAGAGTACAGTATTCAGTAAATCATGAGATATTCAGCACTTCATTATAAAATAGGCTTTGTGCAAGATTTAATCCAGAAGAGGAGAAGGCCATGTGACACTAAAGACAGAGGTAGAGCTATGCAGCCACAAGCCAAGGAATGCCAGCAGCCACAAAAAACCAGAAGAGGGAAGTAGCAGATTCTCTACATCCTCTGAAGGGAGCACAGCCCTGCTGACACATTGACTTTGACTCAGTGATATTGATTTTGGACCTCTTGTTTTCAGAGCTATGAAAGAATACATTTTTATTGTTTTAAACCCTAAGTATGTGTTAATCCATCACAGTAGCTATAGGAAAGTAATGTAGATTTAATTGACAAGGTAGGTATATTCCATAAACTGTATGTACTTAATAACAGCCTAAAATATATAAGGTAAACATTGACATACCTGGCAAAGAAAAAGACATATTGCCAATCGAAGTAAATTTGAAGAAAGTTATAATAACTGAGAGCAGTTATTATTATAGCAGACCAAAAAATCACAATTAGAAACCTGACCTAGTTGACATATGTAAGCACTGCATCCAACAGTGACAAAATTTATTCTTTTACATGCACAAGGAAGGAACATTTATCATTTGTAAACTCAACATATGACTGAGCCATACGAAAGGCCTCAACAAATTTCCAGAGATTGAAATTACTTTGCATGGATATTGACCAAAACAGATTAAGCCAGAAATCAGTACAATTATCATACAAAAATAAATAGCTTCAATATATACAACAAAAAAAGAGAAGTTGTAAGACAATTTCAAAAGAAAATACCTTAGGCAAATTTTTCATGTCTCCAAAATTTAAAACTCTTCTGAAGAATGCAAAACTAGGCTTGAACAAATGGAAGACTTAACCATGTTCTTGAACGTGAAGTCTCAGCATCATATGTCAGTTCTTCTAAGTTAATTTGTCATTTTAATGCAGTAACAATAAAAATGCTATGTTTTTCTGATGTCAGGCAAGCTATTAATAATTGTAAGTTTATCTCAAAGAACTAACAATCAAGAATAATTAGAGAAACTGTGAACAAAAGAGCAGTAGTAGGAGAAGAGGAAGATTTAACCTAGAAAACTTATTAAACACTTATGGAGTCTTAAATTAATGTAGTTTGATATTGCTGCATGAATGCACAAACCAATGGGAAAGACTAGAAAACTAATTGCATGTGGCAATTTTGAATACTATAAAGACATTATCTTATCAGTGAAAGGAAATGCATGTTTTAATGCTAAATACAGGAAAAGATAAAATTATATCTATTTCGCTGGGCATGGTGGCTCACACCTGTAATCCCAGCACATTGGAAGCCAAAGTGGGTGGATCACCTGAGGTCAGGACTTCGAGACCAGCCTGGCCAACATGGTGAAACCCTGTCTCTACTAAAATTACAAAAAAATTAGCTGGGTGTGGTGGTGCACACCTGTAATCTCAGCTACTCGGGAGACTGGGGCAGGAGAATTGCTTGAACCTGGGAGGCATAGGTTGAAGTGAGCCGAGATCACGCCACTGCACTCCAGCCTGGGCAACAGAGTGAGACTCTGTCTCCAAAAAAAAAAAAAAAAAAAATTATATCTATTCCTTCTACACATCAAGATAAATTTTAAATGGTTCAGAGATTAAAAATAATGTTAAAAAAATGACTTCATACAAGTACAAATAGAATGCATGGGAATTTCTCTGTAACTTGGATGTAGGGAAGATTTCCTAATTGACTCAAAATTCATACACACCAAGGAAAAAGATGAATAACTTAATTTTTTTAAAACTTGCCTTTCATACAAACACTATGAGCAAAATGAAAAGCTGTGAGCAGTATTTTCAAATTATATTACAGATAAAGGGATTTCAAACCTAATTTCTAAGGAGCTTTTAAAAAGAAGGAAGAAGAAGGTCGGCAATCTTAGGAAAATGGACTAGATGCAGCAGAAAAGAAAATGAAAGCAGAAAATTATGGATAATAGTCAAACGGAATTATAAAGAGGAAAAAAATGGAAATACAAGCCTTTTTTTTTTTTTTTTTTAAGAGAGAATGATCGGCTACAATACAGGAGGCTGATGATCTAGGCAGAGAAACCAACAGCCTTTAGAAGTCTTGCACGGCTAGAGAAATAAGATTGGATAATAGAAAGGCCAAGATCCTGCTGAGAAGGGAAAGACAGAAATGTGAGCCTGGTACTCTTCACAGTACATTGGCAAATTCTGAAGCTACAAAACACAGGAGACCAGAAAGCCAAGTAGAAAGCTGTGAAAAACCACTTGTAGGAGGCAAGTATTAGAGTTAAGGACACAGCATTGAGGGCAAGAAGCTTTTGATGACTATCCAGTGATTTCATTTGGAAAGTCTGGAGACTTGTGCCTTTTAAGAAGGGACAAAACTGAGGGTAAGTGAACTTTGGATCTAGGAATGGCAAGACCAGCAGGAAGATTACCATTGCCAACTATAGCCTTTACACGATGGCATAGCAGCCCAAATTCAGTGAGTTATTGAATTAAATTTATTGTCTACTTGCCAAGCTAAAGAAAGTGTGAGTGCTCTCTTTAGAAGATAACATCATATGGAGCCTCTACAATTTTTTAGACACAATGTCAAGCCTTGAGTAAAATCATACCAGACATTCAAGAGATGAGACTGAAAACCAAGAAACAGCGCAGACAATAGAAACATACCCACAGATGATCCAGGAAGTGGAATTAAGACCAGGACTTGAAATAACAATGATAATGTGTTCAAGAAAATAGAAGACAAGGAGAAAATAAATAAAAGGGAAATATTCCCCCAGAGAATTGAAACTTGTGGGGAATAAAAATAATCAAATGGATATTCTAGAGCTGAGAATTGCAATAACTGAAATTAAGAACTCAATTAATGTGTATAAAATTAAATTAGACAATGGAGAGTCCAGAGATAAATCCTCATATATGTAATCAAATGGTTTTCCACAAGGGTGCCAAGTGGTGTTAGGAAAACTATATTCAAATGTAAAAGAATGAAGTTGGACCCTTACCTTATACTGTATGCAAAAGTAAACTCAAAATGATCCAAAGACCTAAATGTAAGACCTAAAACTGTACAACTCTTGGAAGAAAGCATAGGAAAAAAGCATTAGACATTATTTGTATTTATTGGATATGACACCAAAACATAGGCAACAAATGTAAAAATAGACCAATTGGACTACATTAAAATTTTAAAACTTCTGGACATTAGAGGACACAATTAACAGAGTAAAAAGACAGGCTGCAGACTGGGAGAAAATATTTGCAAGTCATGCGTCTAATAAGGGGTTAATATCCAAATTATATAAACAACTTGTACATCTTAAAAACAAAATAACCCAATTAAAAAATATGCAAAGGACTTGAATAGTCATTTCTCTAAAGATTGTATGCAAACAGCCAACAGACATATGCAAATATGCTCAGTACCACAAATCATCAGGAAGATGCAAATTAAACCACAATGAAACCTCACATCACACCAATTAGGATGGCCACTATTTAAAAAATTAAATTAACAAGCATTGGCAAGGATGTAGAAATTGAAACGCCTATGCACTGTTGGTGGGAATATAAAATGATACAGCTGGCTTTGCAGACACTGCTGCCCCCAAGATCCCCTGCCACTAGCCATGGTCATCCCCAGTGTGTCCTTCAATATCACCATCAACAGCAAGCCCTTGGGACACATCTCCTTTCAGCTATTTGCAGATAAAGTTCCAAAGACAGAAGAAAACTTTCACTCTGAATAATAAAGACAAAGGATTTGGTTATAAAAGTTCCTGCTTTCACAGAATTATTCCAGGGTTTATATGCCAGGGTGATGACTTCACACACCATAATAGCATTGGTGGCAAGTCCATCTACGGGGATAAATTTGATGATATGAACTTTATCATGAAGCACACAGGTCTTGGCATCTTGTCCATGGCAAATGCTGGACCCAAAACAAATGATTCCCAGTTTTTCATCTGTGCTGCTGTGGCCGTGTGGTTGGATGGCAAGCATGTGATCTTTGGCAGGGTGAAAGAAGGCGTGAATATTGTGGAAGCCATGGAATGCTTTGGGTCCAGGAATGGTGAGACAAGCAAGATCGTCATTGCCAACTGCAGACAACTGTAATAAATTTGACTTGTGTTTTGTCTTAACCACCAGACCTTTCCTTTTGTAGCTCACACCATTCCACCCCATTTGCTCACAGTCTCATATAATCTTCATGGTCTCACTACAGTTCTTTGAGTTCTATATTTTCATTATCTCCCTCGACATACAGCTGGATTGCAGAGTTAAGTTTATGATGGTGCAGTAAAAACTAAATAACAAAAAAAAAAAAAAAAAATCAGATGCTGCGACCATGGAAAACAGTATCACAGTTTCTCAAATAATTAAACATTGAATTACCATATAATTCAGCAATTCCACTACTGGATAGATATCCAAAAGAATTGAAGGTAGGGTTCCAAAGAAATATTTGCACATCCATGTTCATAGCCCTGCTATTTACAGTAGCCAAGAGGTGGAAGCCATCTGAGTGCCCATCCAAAAATGAGTGGATAAACAAAATATGGGATATACATACTCTGAATACAGGCTTAAAAAGGAAGGAAATTCCAACACATGCTACAATATCGATGAATCTTAAGGAATTATAGTAAGTGAAATAAGCCATTCACAAAAAGGCAAATACTGAATGATTCCACTTATATGAGGTGTCTAGAGTAGTCATATTCATAGAGACAGAAATTAGAATGATTGTTGCCACCAACTGGGAGGACGGGGGTGTGAAAAGTTGTTTAATGGGTATTGAGTTCCAGTTTTGCCAGATAAAAAAGTTCTGAAGGTTGGTTGCATGACGTGAATATAGTAAACAGTACTGAACTATTACTTAGAATGGTTAAGATGATAAATTTTATGAGTTTTCACTACAATAAAAAGTAGAGCAGTAGAACAGATGATTAGTCATAGCAGAAAAGAAGAAAAATAGGTCAAAACAGGTTATTAGAAAATATCCAAACTGAAGCATGAAGAAGAAGAATATTTTTAGTAGAAAATATCCAAACTGATATATAAAGACATAAAGGAATTTGTGGAGACAAAGAGGAGATAAGAGAATAAAAGACATGTGGGACACATTAAAAAAAAAAATCCAACCTACAGAATCCCAGAAGAGGAGAGAGAACAGGGCAGGAGCAATGTTTGAAGAGATAATGGGCTCAGAATTTCCTAAAAATTGCAGAAGACATTATTCCACAGAATCGAGAAAGTATGTGATCCACAGATATAAATACAAAGAAGCCTTACTAGAGCATCGTAGCAAATTGCTGAAAACAAAAGAAAGAGAATACAATCTTAAAAGATAGAAGGAAAACAGTCACTTTTAAATGTACAAGACTAACAGCTGACTTCTCAGCAGGAACAATGGAACCAGAAGACAACAGAGTGACATTTCAATTGCTGGAAGAAACAGCACCAACCTAGGCCTTTGTACCCTGCAAATATCCTTTAAAAATGAAGCAAATTAAGTAATCATTGTGTGCATTATGGGCAGAATGATAGACCAATGGAACAGTGGAACAGAAGAGAGAGACCAAGAATAAACCCTTCAATGTATGGTCAGATGATTTTCTCAAAAGGCACAACAGCATTTGAATGAAGTAAAATATCTGTAATAAATATGACTGGAAAACATGGATATGCATATAGAAGAAGAAACATAACCCATACTTCACATCATTCACAAAAATCAAATTAAGATAAATTATAGACATAAAAGTAAAGCTAAAGCAATAAAGCTACCAAGGCAAAACATAAGATATTTTTTTCAAGTTCTTGGTGTAGGCAAAGACTTCTTAGAAAGCATGAACTATACAAGAAAAAAAAAATTGGTAAATTGAACTTCATTAAAATTTCTCAGCTAGGTATGGTGGCTCACACTCTAATCCCAGCACTTTGGGAGGCTGAGACAGAAATATTATTTGAAGGCAGGAGTTCAAGACCAACCAGGGCAACATAGCAAGACCCCATCTTTATAAAAAAATTTTAAAATTGGCCAGCAACGCCTACAGTCCTAGCTATTCAGGAGGCTTAGGTGGGAGGATTGCTTGAGCCCAGGATTTTGAGAGTGTAATGAGCTATGATTGGGCCTCTACACTCCAGCTTAAAAAAAAATAAAGTTTCTCTTCAACAGACACTTAAGAAAATAGACACAGACATAGAGAAAATATTCACAATACATATATCTGACATAGAACTTGGGTTCAAAATATATAAAGAAGACATACAATTTAGTAATTTTTTAAAAGACAGAGTGCAGTTTTTTAAAGGAGAGTTTTGTGAATATACATTTCACAAAACATGTTATATGTCTAGTAATTACATTTTAAAAGTACCCAATATATTATTCATCTAGAAATGAAAAAAACCCAGTGAAATACCACTTCCATACCCTCTAGAAGGGCTACAGTGTAAAGGACTGATAATGACAAATGTTGGAGAGGATGTGGAGCAATTGGAACTGTCATATGTTGCTAGTGGGGGTAGAAAATATGATTATTTTGGAAAACAGTATGTCAGATTATTAAAGAGTTATACACACGTGGCCCAGTAATTTTAGAGCTAGGTATTTGTCAAAGAGACATGAAAACATATGTCCACAAAAGACCTGGAAAAAAAATATTTACAGCAGCTTTATTCATAATAGCCAATAAAACTGATTACAGTGAGGTGCCGATCAAAAGAAGAATAGGTTAACAGTTATCTATTGAGACAGTGGATACTGTTCAGCAAAAAAGAACCAACATTCACAATATTGATGAATCCCAATATTATTCTCAAAAAAGAAATTGGTCACAAAAAATGCATAGTTAATGATTCTAACTATTTGAAATTCTAGAATAGGGAAAACTAACAGGAATAGAAATCAGATCAGTGATTACTTTGTGGGGGAAGGTGTTGACTGGGATACAGCATGAAAGAACGTTCTGGAGTGTTGGATATTTCTATGGCTTTGTTACTTAATTGTCAAAAGTGAATGTTACACTTAGGATCTGATCATTTGTTAATGTAAGTTATACCTCACTTTTTAAAAATGCAAGTTAAAGATTTTAGACCACTAAAAGCTGAAAGATGTGTGCTACCAACAGATTGTACTAAAAAATCACTAAAGGGTTTTTTCAGGCAGAAGGAAAATTATCCCACATGGAGGCTCAGAAATATAAGAAATAGCAAAAAAAGCACAGAAAGGGTAAATATTGGAGGAGACAGAGAAATGAGGATGGCTGTACAACATAAGGACAGTAACATCTTCTGAAGTAAAAATGTATTATAACAATAATAAAACAGTAAAAGGCAGAAGGGAACTGAAGTAAAAATGAAATAACAACAATAATAAAACAATAAAAGGCAGAAGGGAACGGCACTGACCACGTTCGATAGTCCTAGGGCCAGTTGGACATTTTACATTCCTGCCGCTGCAGCAGAGTCAGGGGTATACCTCCAGAGTGAGCCTTCATGTAGCTGGCACCGTAGTCCAGGGGCCATTCTCTGCCCACCCACCTTTTCTGCCAGGTGTCAGTTCAGGTAGAAGGGAACAAATCAAATTATTAATTGTGGCAACTACCCTAACTTAGATACCCTAGGTTCCAAAACAGAATCAATATCTTTTTTAATAGCCCCATGGCCATAGAGTCCTTGAGAGGAACATGGCTGGCTATAAGAACCCTGAAACTTGGAAACTCAAAGCTGTGGCTTTTCATCAAGTATTTATAGTTTATTTACAGTTGTCCCAGTCCAGATAGGTTTACCAGCTAGTGTTTTGTTGTTTTTTTTTTTTTTTAACCATATGTTACCTGTAACAGATATTAGATATTTAGGGAAATAAAGCTACAAGTTTAATCCAACATGGTTTTCCATTTTAAGCTCACAGACTGACTTCCACAACCTTGAGTTAGTAACTTTAGTACTGACTTTAGGGTAAATAAGAATTACCTGGGGCCTTGTTAAAACACAGATTGTTGGTCCCCTATGACTTACTTCCTAACTCAGTAGCTCTAGGGTGAGGCTTGAGAATTTACATGTCTAGTAAGTTCCCAGGTGATACTGGGTGATACTGCTGACCCGAGGACCGCACATTGAAACCAATGCCTTATTCAGTAACAGTGATAACAAAGTAAAAGTGCCCCTTTCCTGTTTACTGTTCACAAAAGGGTCCCCATATTCTCTTAGCTTCAACTTTTAAAATACTAGTCATTATTTATTATTTCTTCAAAAGCCCATCTCTAATTGTCTCCTTAGGGAGTTTTTGAGTTTGCATTGACATTGTCACTAACTGTCAGCAGATGGCTTTGACCAGATTCCATTTTAGGGTTAAATCCATCTGCATTATCAGAATCCTCAGGATGCAGCTCAGGCTGCAGCTTAGAGGGCTCCCCCAGTGGCCGTAGACTTGCCCCAAGCTGCTGCCATTGCCACTGCACCAGTTTGTATGCCAGATTACCACATAGTCCTATGTAACCGTGTGGGCTGCTACACAGTAGTTCCTCTACTTCTGTCCTCTACCTCCTCAGGTAGCGGCTCATAGACATTACCCCATGCTGATTGGATGAGCAGGCAACTCAGCTTGGTCAGAGCCAGCCGGCTGCTCCACCCACTTTGTCCTATCACAGACCCAGTCACAGATGTAAACTCTCAAGCCCATGCGCTTGTCTCCTTCCCACCCCCAGCCAGGAAACAATGCCTAGTTTGGCCTAAATGCATCAGCTGCACCAAGGCAAAATCATTTTTGCCAACCAGCCCAGGGGCAGCTGGGTTTCTGGCCAAGTCCATTTTATGGACAGTGGAGAAGAGTAGACAATGTCTCTCAGCATAAGTCTGTCTCCAACTTTCATCCCTTCCCACAAGGGGAAGATTTCCAAGGGAACATAACCAAGAGATGAACATGAGATCAACTTCCTATGAGAATTCACTGATAAAGTGCCTGGTTTTAGCATTATCAAGAAAGTAATGAAATTAAGGTAATAATGTGAATCTTTAGTGTGTAATAGGTTGAAGATGCATGTTGCAGTTTAGAGGCTAACCACTTAAAGAATAGCAAAACGTGTGCAATTAAAGGAAAAGGAAAAATAAACATTTGATAAAATTTTTAAAAGCGACAAAGGAGGACAAAAGGAATGGGTGAAATAGAAGGCAAATCATTAAATGACGGATAAACCCAATACATCAGTAATCAGAATAAATATAAAAGGAGTAAGTACTCCAGTTCTCCAGACTGGCACTATCAACTGGGTTTAAAAATACCAGATTGAGAGGACGATCCAAGATGGCCGTTTAGGAACAGCTCAGGATTGCAGCTCCCAGTGAAAGCGCAGAGGGTGAGTGGACACTGCGTTTTTATTGCCCACAGACTAGGAAATTCCCGGGCGGAGGAGCTCCACATTCGCCAGCGCAGCTGTTTTGGCCAGCGCGGCTGTGCCGGCCAGCACCGCTGCTTTGCCCCGCGCGGCTGCTTTGTCCTGCGCGGCTGCTTTGTAGGCGCCCCGGAGCCGCAGTTCTCCATACAAAATACACCCGTCCAGGGGCCCTTTTGGCTGGCGATTGGAGCCACGGGAAGTCGCCTATTCGCCGGTTCAAAAAGGGGACTGAGCAGAGAACCAGGACAGTAGATTCCAGGGCAAAAAAAAAAAAAAAAGCCCCACAAACCTGAGTGCCGCTGTTTAAGCCAGCACAGTGAGTGGCCGCAGGGAAAAGCAAACAGACCCCGGCGCCTCTTCAACAGGCAACTGGAACACCAACTTAAAAAAGGCTCTGAGGCAGGGAGCCAGGCGATCAGGCTCGGCTGGTCCCACCCCCACAAAAGAACAGCAACCAGAAACTCTGGACTGAGACTTTCACAGCAAGCGCACCCGGGACAGTCCAGCTCTGTGGGGGAGGGGCGTCCGCCATTACCGAGGCAGCCCGCCATTGCCAAGGCAACCCGCCATTGCCAAGGCAACCCACCACAGCAGAGAGACTCCGCCTCAACAGAGGCAGGCCACCATCTCCAAAGCAGTTCTAACTACACCCATATAAACAGGACTGCAGGGAAGTTCACTCGGCAGCGGGGCGGAGCCCACGGCAGCCCAGCAAAGCCTCTATAGGCC